CATCTAATCTTTTTCACACAATCCCCGATCCTTCCAACCCGATGCCTAAACTCTAACATGATACTCTCCAGTCCAACGTCTAATTCTTCTGCTTCAACGATTTGCCTTTCCATGATCGATGTTTCTCATGCGTTACTTATCTCAAATGCTTATTAGTCCATAAATTCATCAATTGATTTCATCATCAAAATCCAAGATTCAACACTCTACTCTTAAAACTTGTTTCTAAAAAACCTTTTGAAATGATTGATGTAATTATAATCATTGACTAAATATTATGGAGTGAGATGATGGGTGGTGAAGTATGGGGTGGTGAAGGCGAGGGTGATGAAGACATCTTCGACTTTGCATCTAGCAAAAAAATATAATTAATTAGTTACATATAACATAATAATACTTATTATAAATCATTACGTAATCCAATATATTAGTCAATGAATTCCTATGCAAAGTCATTCTATTTATATTCAAAAGTAAATGTTATCAATACTATAAGAATAAATAATATTTCCAATATAGGGAACCAAAATCATTAAGTAATTTTTCTAACATAAGCTAATGATACTCACTAGAAATTAAATAATTATTTAAAATTTTATAAGGAATAAACTAGTACAAAACTATTGTTAGATAAAGAAGATGGCTTTAGGTAAACAAACAAAATGACTTTATTAGCTACCAAAGAAGATGGCATTAGGTAAGCAAATATAATACACTTCCATTAATGGTGACAACTAGACATCTTAAAAGATTAAAACCTTTGATCTGCTTAACTAAGTCAATTTGGTTTTAGTGTTGATGTAATTTTGATTTGAATTAGTTTAAGATGGTTGCATATATGCATTTGCTAAAAAACTCTATGCGTTGCCATCCCTCTCCAATACTATTATTTCAAGGCAAAAAGCAAAATAAAATTTCGAGTCAAGAATGAGATTTTGTTGGGAGTTCGAGAATTCGTTGGAAGTCGGATGTTTATCGAAAGTTCTATCGGAATTGATCGAGAAGCTCAAGAGTTTGCCAAAGAAGCTCGTCGGAACTCACTAAGAAGATCATCGTGAAGTCCATAAACTTTCCAGGAGTCCATTGGAATATTGCCAAGAGATCGTCGAAAGTTCGTCGAAAGCTCACTGGAAGAAACCTAGACTTACCATACTTATTTAGCTTAGTGTATGCCTTAAAATTCGTATTTAGCACATGATTGAATTAGAATTGAGCCAACTCAATTAAGGGCCAATTGGGCCCAAGTTTGGCTCCAATTTGAATACATTTGAGACCTATAAATACTCCTCTCATCCTTGGTTAATACACACAAGAATTGAGAGCAAAAAAGTAGAAAAGCGTTGTTGTAATCTTGTGAGAACTCCTCTAAAAGATCTAAGTGTTAGTGTAGTTTAAGAGATGAGTAAATGGGGGTATAAAGGTTATCTCCTAAACCTATGAAAAGGAGAAAGGTGTGAAAGAGTAGTTGACCTTTGCCCATTGAAGAAAGATGGTTAGTAGATGCGAGTAGCCTCGACGGAAGATGAATCGGTTAAGTAAATGTAGGTCACGATGAACGAACCACTATAAAACGGTTTGCATTTCTGTTTTGCTATTTATCTTTATTGCAAACTGTTTTACTTTTTTCACTACTTTTGCTGCATACCCTTCCATACGTTTTCAAGTTAATATCTTTCTGAAACGGATTTAATTGAACGAAAGATTTTCAAATCGGTATCTTTTATCTGCTGTACTAATTCACCCTCTCTTAGTGTTGCTCTTGATCCTAACAATGGATTCATTCTTTTGGGGTGAGAGAGAAGAATACTCAAAATAAAAAGGAAACACGTATAGATCAATAACAAAAAAAAATATATCCAAAAGCTAATGTAAAATTTAACATAGTTCGATAACTTTAGTTTATGGCCATGAAGAAAATCAAAAAATTTAATATATAAGATCAATTATCTAACTCATCCCAACCAAGTAGTTAGAACCTCCTTAAATACTTACCAAACCCTAACAATCTTCACATTGATGAGTATTTTTTTACTTTGTACCTTATGCAAAAATTAAACCATTAATTTGAAGAATTCACCATAGGTACATAAATTAAATTAGTTTCATGGTCTAAAACCTAACTCCAATAAGCTAGCACTATTTGATTCTAGAGAGAGATATTTATCTTACTGCCTTACCATCAACATAATTTTTTTCCTTACAACCATATGCATCCTAGACATGATAAATATCACTCATCGTTTTTTTACATCATGAACGAAACTTGCTATTGTAGGCACCTATCATCTTATGCATGTGTAATCTATTTCGAAGATCTTTACTATATTTCTTTTACTAAATGATACAACCCTTCATATAATCTTCTTATCGTTAGGACCATTTTACTATATTTTCTTAGAACTCCACCTCCCATCATATAGCCATAACCTTAGAAATCTTAAAGACTTAAAGAAAATTAGATTTTTCCATATATTAAGAATATAAGCCACATCCTCTAAAGTGCGTACCAATCTATCAAATATTTTGGTATTCACTTTACCAACACCCATGACCTCCACTATTGAATCATGAGGCAAACGTAGCTTTCTAGTTAATTTTCATTTAATGAATCAAAATAATCCTTTTAAGCATAAACATGAATGACATATGTAAAATATTATAACTAGTTTTTCTAGAAAGATGCATCATTACCTTTAAAGATTGTGAAGACATCATCAATACCATCCATCATTAGAGAGAACTTACTAGTCTTATCTTCTTTTTTTTTTTTTTTCCTAGACAATTCTGTCTAATATGTCCATAATTTTTGTATCTATAGCTTTGAACATTATTTAAAGACCTAACTCTTGATCTCGACCTACTATGTTGAGATCCACCTTTATCAAAAAAATCTTCCTCGTCAACCTTCATCTTGAGTAGCTAATGTCTCACTATCTATATTTTTAAATTTATCTTTTTTTTTATAATATAAAATACTATGTTTTTGTAACGAGTTACTATATTCTTCTCACGTATTATCATCTCTACAAAATTATGAAAGGCGTCGATGAGCTATGTAAGAAGCAACATCATTGTATCTTCTTTATCAATCTTTAAATCAACTTTCTTCGATTGATTCAATATTTCTTTCAATACGCTCAAATGCCTTATTTATTAAGTCTTTGCCTTCTTCCATCCTGGTGTTAATATAACATCTACTTTAGATATAACTTATTAATTGAACTTTTAACAAGATAAAGCTATTCTAATTTATCTTAAATAATCAACATAGAGTAATCATCAATAATATTATTGATAATATTATCAATGATACACAACAAAAATAGTAATCATACACTTCCCATCAATCTTCTCTTAATCTTTTTCACTCATCTTTTCTAATTTGCTTGTCCATCCTTTCGACATTCTTATTAGTAAAACTATTTCTTTCATCAAAATTTTTCACATTAAAATCAATAAAAATAATCAATGACATCCTTGTTAAATCTTTAATCATTAAATTTTTTTTAGTTTTGAAACCAATTGCCAAGGAGAGAGAGAAAAAATAAAACTAAAATAATAAACCAAGAGCAACAAATAAGGAACATACTAAAAATTCCATATGAGATTTGCATGGTTCGACAACTCTTATCTATGTTCATATAGAAAACCAAAATTTTCAATATATGAGATCCATTATAATACTCATGGGTCATCCTCAGTCAAGCATTATAATGGGTCATTGCCATTCAAGCATAGCTACTTTTGTATACCTTCTTATATAAATCCAATGAATTATTATGTCAATCTTCTCTATATCCACATCAGAAATTTTGAGATTGTATATTTATAAGAATAAAATCCTAATTTTCCAAGAAATCTTTCTACTTGAATCAAAGTTAAATCTAAATCTTGATCCATTAAAAATTTAAATTTAATTAGAACTCCTCAATCTTCTAAGATTGTTACAACCATGACAATTTTTAAAATCATGATGGTACAAGATTGTTATAGAATATTATTTTTTTTCTTCCAATCCCTTATAATATAAAGGACTATCTATATTTTTCTAGTGATTGTTGGATGCTCACATAATTAGACTTGCCAACGTCATGGCTTGGGTCACGAATAAAGATGTGGCTCACGCTAAGGCGGCCACAATGGTGGAGACACCATCTTATCTTTGCGTACGCGTCGTGAGAAGAGCGACTAATTACATGTTACTTTTTTAGTATTTTAGTTCTTAAATTTAAAAGTAAAGTATTTAATCATCGATTTAATCGATATAATATATCACATATGTATAAATAATATAAAAATAATAATAATAATAATAATTTTAATATTCTAGTTACATGTTTTGTTGTGACGAACCACGATGTCATTGGAGGTCATGAGTGACTATTATGGATGAAGAGAAAGAGTGACGACAAGAGGTGAAAGAAAGGAAGAGGAGAAATACGATGATCCAAATGTCGATGCTCTACATCTATGTCGATACCGTTTGGCAATTACGTCGACATTGATGTAGATGCAAAACAACGAAAGAATCGCTCGATATCTACATCAGCATATGTATCGATACGAATGCATACACAGATATAGAACGGTGACACTTTACATCTACATTTTATAATTATGTTAGCATTGATGGAGCATCTACATCGTCTTCTTCCTCCCTCTCGTCATCACTCTCCCTCGTCAGCCTCCTTCTACTCCCGTAAAAAATTATAAACCTCTCCAACGTTCTCATTTCTCATCAATCATTGCATTGTTCTCATTAATCGATAGTCACCCGTGACCCCTAGTGGTACTGTCGTTTGTCATCATGGAACAAGTAATTAGGACGTTAAAAATATTTTTTTATTTATTATTTTATATTTAAAAATAATATTAAGATAAATAAAATTAAAATATTTTATTTATAATTATATAAAATTTTAAATCTAAAACCGAGGTGCTAAAGAGATTTATCGTGAAACGAACCACTAGTGTCTTTTCGTGCTCTGCCACCGCACTAATTAAGCTTTAAAGGAGATTACTGAAGTCGACCGCCCCCACGACAAGAGGAACCTCGATCGAGAGCAAAGAGCCGGAGGGGAGAGAGGAAGCCGGTCCCGATCCCAAGATGTCGTCTGCCTTCGAGACCTTCAGCAACGATGGCGACGAGGCGGCGGCGGCGGCGGTAGCGGGATCCGCCACCAACCGGCCCTTCGACGATGGCTACCTCGGCTACGACCCCCGCCTCCCCTCCCAACGCTTCGACGCCTTCTCCACCTTCTCCCCCGCCGACGATGTCCATCCCGCCGTGGACCACTTCCCCCCGGCCTCCCCCGGGTTTCCCGTTGACGTTGCCTCCGGCGGGGACTTCGATTTCCACTCCGAAGACGTCCCCATCCACCACCCTGTCGGCGGCGGCAGCGGCGGAGACAGCATCCCCGCCTCCCCTGAGGGGTACGGCTTCTCGTCGTCGACGTCCCCCTTCACGATGCCCCAGGCCAATGGGGCGACATATGGTGTGGAGGAGAACGGGGAGATCTTCACCTCGGATGCCCCGATCCTTCCCGATCCGGAGCAGATGCAGCGCGACGAAGGGTTTATACTGCGGGAGTGGCGCCGGTGAGGCCCTTTCTTTATAGATCTGCTCATCCGTTGATCTTATTCTTATACTCTTTTTTTGGGTCAGCTTATTTAGATCTTTCGTATTCCTCATGGACGTTGATAGACCTGCAACTTATATTTGGATTTCTCTTACAGTTCTCTGAATTCCCAATCTCTTATTAGGTTGATAGCTAGGTTTATTTGATTCATATTTTAGATCTCAAAATTCTTATTAGCCTTTGAAGGTCACTCAGTCGGTGATCTCATCAATTAGTAGCTTTTGTAAGATTTATGGTTGTATTTTGTGATAAGAAATTGTTTTGAATTTTAGAAAGGTTGATTCGATAGAGAAATGTGCACTCATAGATAACTGTGCACTCATTAGAATGCTTGGTTCAATGTCTCCAGATTGTGAAAAAAGTGATGATCATTAGCGACAAACTGCATAGGTGACAATAGGTGATAACCTAATTGCTTATGTGATAACTTGGACAACAACTTGCTTACACTATCAATTATATGTTGATTTAACTATAACAAAGTATAAAGTCGTAAGTCTCAACCATTTGAGGTCATCATTGAGCTATATAAAAAACTATATGTTTAGTTAAGTTCGGAGTACTTAAATCTTTATTTACAGTTTTTATTAAAGTCTTTTTTTAGATCTTTTTCTATCTTTCTTCACATCACTAACATTAATTATTTCACCTGTTCTTACTATCGCAATCGGAGGTCTTCTTCGCATATGTTCAGACGATCTTAAATGATTTTCTCTCATCTTATTCTCTATCGAAACAATACCTAGTTATTCACGAATAAACGTACTTATTTTTCTATCTTTCCTAGTAACTTTACACATTCATCTTAATATTCTCATCTCGGTAATACAAATTCTTTGTATATGTTTTTTCTTAACTGTCTAAAACTCACATCCATAAAGCATTGTTGGTCTCACATAATGATATCATTTCTTGAATCCGACTTGAGGGGCGTAAGCACTAATGACATTCAAAATATCTTATCCTTTCACAAATTTTAGAACGATAATTTTATCTCTATATCTTTTTACATCTACAACATTGTCCTTAAGATCCTTATCAATAACAATTTCTATACCATTTCTATATTTAACTTTTCTAGTATACCAAATTTTAAATCTCGTGCTATCAATCTCTCTAGAATTTTTCCCTACTCATTTAGTCCCTTGTAAGTAAATAATATTTATTCTTCTTCTGATTATAGTGTCTACCAATTCTAATTTCTTCCCTAAAAGTGTTCATATATTCCAAATTACTAACCAGACCCTCTATTCTTGGACTAACTTCTTTACTCCCGTTGGCCTAAAACAATGAGATAACCCTTGCCTACTTGGCATAATATCCGGGCACTAATGTGATGGGTCACTTTCGAGCGACCTCCTAACTTAATGTTTGCAATCCAGGACGCTTAGGTGGTGAAGGTGTCTTACGTCACATCCAGGTGACAACCTAGCTCTATACTAGAATCGATTAAGATCCATGTTCATAAAATCCGATATAGTTTTACGTTGGTTGTCAGTGACCTAACGCAACCTTCCACCTTTTTCATTCGGGTTTGAGACCGGCATTGGCGATGCTTTATGTGTTGAGTTAGCTAATGTATCTATTTTTTAGAGTCCATAAATTATCTCACAACGAGGGTTTCCATATTCCATATTTTTCTTAGATTTGCATAATCATTTAAAAAGCATACTGTAGTCTATAAAATTGATTAATGTTATGTGTACAACATTGTCATTAATATCCTAACTCGATTGATATCGAAGTGTACATAACACCTAGAAATATACTTGACAGTTGGTATTTTCTCACATTAATGTATGCTATGCAATAAGGAGTACTTGTATTATTCAAACAATAATTACCTGGTCTTTTGAGGATTTGATTTGCCTTTTAGACACTGCCCAGGCATCTAGGCAACTTTGATGGTGAACCATCTATGCTTATAAAGAATTTTAAGAGAGTTTATTCTAGGCAAAGAAATCAGTAAAAAATCATCAATTAGTTGGCCTAGAGTATGAAAAAATAGATTCTTTTGGGTTTTTTAGGTGTTAACCTTGGGACTCTATTTTTTGATTAAGGGCACTCTTTTTCTTCTCAGTGATAAGTTTTTAAAGCTTTTTAGGTCTTCTAGGAATTTCCAGAAGACGTACAAGTTCTAGAAGTCAAAGGAGGAAGAGGACTCTTGGAAATCATTGCCTTCATTTACTGTACTAAGGTTCCTAAACCCTATAGATAGTGTAGCTTGTCAATGGATGACACAATTTAGATTTGAAAATTACATCTTCTCTCTTCTAGCCTCTTACTCTCCTCTCTGATTTGACTCTCTTTTTCTCTCTCTACTTCTCGTGCTGTTCTACATCAAACTTACTGTGCAACAGTGGTGTGCATTTGAGCCATTCTAAACTGTAGATTTCATCTGGGATGTAATAGAATAGAATAATGGTATGATGATTGAGAATTTCAAATAGATAATGATTATTGTACTGATGAATGTATCAGCAGAGGCATGCATCTATTTTGTTCCTTGTGGTTCATAGATCCTCGTCATCAATTATTGTTGTCATAGTGCTTCTTTCTTGTAAGAGTCATGCAGGACTTTTAAAACATATAACTTGGAGACGTTAAAAATTGAGCCATTTTAACATCCATTCTCTACAGGGAAAGTTTAGAATTTAGTATTGTTACATTACATTTGCACTCATTGTCTCCGAGTCTGGTTAGCATGTGATTCCTGTCTCTTTTCCTCTGGTACTGTTGCCAATCACCTGTATTTTACGGTCAGGCCACCTTTTGCTAAAACAATCTAAGGTCGCAGATGTTGTTGGGAAAAATATATTCTTTAGAACTAAAACTTCTGTAGTTATACAGTCTCAGTTGGCTTGTAGACCAGCTAATTTTGAAGTTTGTACTAAAAGGGTTAGGACTCGATGGTGCTTTTTGGCCCTTCATCTCCTGATTTTCTAGATGCTAGCTAGTACATTCCACTTGGATTGTAACCTAGAGCTGGATAAGCCTAGAGCTTGTCTGATAAGGGCCTTTTTGGGTTTGGTTAAGTGTCGTCACTGATGGTTGCCTTTGACTTTGCCCTTCATATAATACGGTTATCCACCAAATGAGGTCCAAATTTCTTTTTTCTCTTTTTATTGATTTCTTTTGTTATACCCTTAAGTTGAAACTGGAGTCAGTTTTCCCCATGTAATGAGATATTGATGATATGGTAGTTAATATGGTGAAAGAACAACCTTGTGGGCATTCATGTCATGGACAATTTGAGCAGTCTGAGAGTTATGAACACTGACTTGATGCATTATCCTTTCCATTACATATGCACGAGTGTACTTGTTCAACTTAGCAGTTTAGGATGGTTGTCTGCATTTATTCTTGATGTGAAGATGCTTTCTTGTTAATTTCTCGCTTTATTTTTCAGATCATGGGAATTGTTAATAGCAGTCAAAAGTCATTCATGCTGTAATTCTTTGTCATCCGCTTATCAAATTTAATAGCACCTGCACTTACCAGGTTTGGTTAGTTGTTTTTTCTCATTGCAGAAACTTGAACAACGTGTCCCAAATTGTTAGTAAATTGTCAGTATATGTTGATGTGACATGTGTTGAATTTGTACTTTTGTTGACAGTTTATCTTTGACAAATTAATTCCTTCATAACATTGTAAATTTGCTATGGCCTTACATATATATTTTTTTAAGTGTTTAGCTTTACAGATTTTTATCTGGTAACTGTCCTTCTAAACACTTGCCATCTAATTAAACACCACGCCTCACTCAGGATGACCACATTCTGCAACCTGGAGCCACCTCTATGAATCTTTTTTACGTAGATCATGGAACATGTGTTTTTGTCACTTTTAGGATATGGCATGCCATTGAACTTAGTTTGACTTCTTGTTAAATGATAGGTAATACCGAACTAACCGTCCCTGTTGAAAGCTTTTGCAGACTACACAGTTGAAAAAATGATCCAAAGATATCTTGGATGTTAAAATATTTCTTTGCTTACTCAGTTGTGCATGTGACCTATGCTGGTTTTTTTTTTCTGTTGGTAAGCTTCAAGTAGTTTCAATTGAAATGTCAAACATGCAGCCAAAATGCTGTCCTCCTTGAAGAGAAGGAGAGGAAAGAAAAGGAGCTACGAAACGAAATCATTTCTGAAGCTGAAGAATATAAGCAAGCTTTCTATGAGAAAAGGAAACTGAACTGTGAAACAAGCAAGTTGCAGAACAGAGAAAAAGAGACGGTATATAATCCTGGTCATTCTTATCCTGCGTCCCATCTACTTGCGTCGAGAGATTATGATATAATTTCTTCCTCTGAGCAGTACCTTTTCTATTTGTTTATTGTCAGCTGTATCTCGCCAACCAGGAGAAGTTCCATGCAAATGCGGATAAACAATACTGGAAAGCAATTGCTGAACTAATTCCCCATGAGATAGCCAACATTGAGAAGAGAGGGAAGAAGGATAAGGATAAGAAGCCGTCGATTGTTGTTATCCAGGGACCGAAGCCTGGAAAGCCTACTGATCTCTCAAGGATGCGTCAGATTTTAGTAAAGCTGAAGCATACTCCCCCGCCGCACATGAAACCTCCAACACCACCCGTGGCCACACCAGCCAAAGATGCCAAAGATGGAGCTGCAGCTGAAGGGAAAAAGCCGGCACCACCAGCCAAGAATGCCAAAGCTAATGGTGCTGCAGCCGTGACCAAGGTGGATACGGCTACAGCAGAAGGACAAGCAGTCAAGGCACCAGAAGTAGTGGCTACTGCTTGATCCTCCTTGCAACTATTAGACCAGCAGGACATCCATTCTCAAGATTGTTCCGACAAGTTTCAAGTAGCTGCAGCCATGAGTATGCGATCTCGATGTTTGTCCACCTTTTGTCCCTTTCCAGTTCGATATGATTATCTGCAGAAAGATGTTGTTTCTTAACAGTTAATCCTAATGTTAGGCTTTCATTGTCGGGATACCACAAACTTTTACTCCTTAGCTTCCCCTCGTGTTTGTTTGTGTATATTAGGTTCTTATTAAGTCGGACATTTCGTTATTGTCGTAAACTTGTAGATGTGCTAGTTTGTTCAAATGTGATTGATGCATGAACTATTTCAAGATACCTGTATTAGATTGCTCGATGCACTTCATTTTCCATAGTTTTATGTACATATTCGTGGGTGATTTAGAAAATAATGAACTCGAAGAGCTTAAAAAGGATAGACAATCATGAGGTTTTTTCAAGACATTATCCTTTAATTAAGATATTTTAAGATATATATTGTTTTTATTTACTATTCTGGTCTGTCGATTCACTCAAATCAAATTCAAATATCCTTAATCGGGTTTAGAACACGAAGAAAATTCAAATTCAAATGCAGATCCACTATTTTTCCAAATTGATGTTTATCCCTTCGAGACAGTGACTAAAATAAATTGGATGATTTTTTTCTAAAAAATACTCATTTTAAATGTTTTTTAATTAATATTCTCATTTTAGTTTTTTAGAGTGCGCACCTAATTTTAAAAATACCTAAATTATCCCTAAAAAATTTTATCTATTATAATGTTTTGGGCTTGTTATAGTATTTTGATCATTACAATAAAAACATTATAAGATCTACTCAAAAATATTATAAATAATCTAAATGGACTCTTAATATCAATCAAATTAATTATAAGTCTAAAAATATCGTATTGTAATGATTCATGAACAATAATAACTAAAAAGATATAAGGAGAAATAAGTTGAAAATCAAATACAACCATAAGATTCAAAGCATTTAAAAATAAAAATGATAGAAATTTTCACCCAATCAATGCAAGATTCATGAAATTGATTAAAGGACATTCGAAGAAGGTCAAAAATAATTTCCTAATATCCATCGTAGAACTTGACCGTGAACCCTTCCGGCCCAAGACTTTTACCAAAGCCTAAAGACCGAATATAATCTCGTATCTCACTTCTATCAAATAGTCGGGTATGAAAAGCATGAACGAAATTACTAATATCCAAAAAGAAGGATCGGTTAAAAGAAGGGGAAGCAAAGGAGTAGCTTGAGACCAAGAGCAAGAGAATCCAACAATAAATTTTGGCCAACACAGATGAAAGTAGCATAAAAGGAAGAATGGCACCCAAAGATCATTATTTTTGAACTGTACAATGACATGAATGCACCGAGAGCGATTGGATCACACCTGAACAGTAGTCGATATAGTGTTCCGACCAATTAGGATTCCTCGAGACACACCCTCCGCCGATTATACAGCCCCACGCCAATTAGGAGTGAATCATAGAGCTCGAGAGTGTTCGATCTACATGTATTTCCTATAGAAGAATTAGATCAAGAGGCAATTTCAAAATAACATAACTAGTCTCGAAGAAGTGAGTGTCTAATGCCTCTACGATTCAAATTGAAGATTTTTATAAGGAAAAAATATTGGCTGAGAAGAAGGTACTCCCCTGATGGCGGCATGCTTATGACCTCGACGAGCTTTGCCCCTTCGAGTGATGTTTGTAGATTTGGATGCTAACGCCCCCTCTTGAACGAAGATCGATTAGAAGGTAACGACGAATAAAGGTGGAGATGCATAGATAAGAGAGATCGAAGGAGAAGGTGGGAGAAAACTAAATCATCATGTTATAAGCGTGGTAGGTGGGGGCACAAGAGAGAACGAAGTGGGAGACAATAAGACAAAGATGCTCAGGAGAAGAAATAGAGATCAGGAGACCACTATGTACATAACGAAAGCTTTTGAGCTTGTCATCAGTACTAAAGAGGTTGCATACGTATGATACCTTATTAGGCAACAGTAACTCTGTGCTACTACTGGTGATCGTTTTCATGACAACATCTCCTCCCGCTATTAATGGTGGTCTCAATTTTTTTAAACTTAAATTGTAAATGTCATTATATTAATAGTTTATTATGAGTCAACATGTTATGTAAGTAGACTCTAACGTCTGTTAACTTAGACTTGATGAGAGAGGTTTATATACTATTTTTTTGAAAATATAAGGATTATTTTAGACACGAATAAACTACAATGGCTTAAGTGGTCCATGACGTAAACTGTAAGAGCTAAATTGGATCTTAATCATTTTTAAAATTTAAACTATATATATCATTATATTAATAATTTATTATTATTTAGCATACCACGACTATAATGTTTATTAACTCAGACTTAAAAGAATAAGCTTATATGATACGTTTTTTGAAAATATAGGAGTTATTTTAGACACAAGTAAGCTATAAGAGTTTAAATGGTCCATGATCAAAATCATATGGGCTAAAATATATCTTTCATATGATTTTTTAAATCGATTACATAAGATTATCTAGATTTATATTCAGATCTTTTACACCCCTAATTAATGATACATTCACTTTTGTCTATGCGCCAACCTTACCAACACGAGAGTTAAGACAATATGTCAATTACGGCATTTCTTCAAATGATGAACATCAGCTGATTGAGATGGGATCCCACCGCCAAATGATCATGCTAAAGATAAATTAAAAGCAGTAAAAGAAGAAAGGGTAAATTTTTGGATATGTTTTTCGGTGTCCCTTTTTGTTTCTTTCCTCATTATTCAACTTTCTTTTTATCCCAAAAATGGTCCCGACGGGATTGCCTAAAAAGATTATTACTCTTTGTATTGGACCGATGCACGAAGTGAATCAGTCCACTGCTCTGGTTAAAATATTTCTGAATAGGATTGATTATAGTATTTTTTTTTATGCCACAAAAACAATTTAAGTCTGTACGAAAATGCTATCTGACTGACTTAAAATTTAATATAAACTAATTCAGTAACTTTGGTTGAATTTTATGATATTGTAAGTTTATACAAAAACATTATCCGACTCAAAATTCAATACAAACTAATTGACCAACTTTGATGGAGTTTCAAGATGTTCTTATGTTAATTATAGTATTCTTTGTATGATCAAAATATTTTTGTGGATGTGTCAAAAACCTTATTCAAAAATATTCTAACAGATACTATCAGTATATATATATATACTGATCCAACTTATACACTGATCCAATCAAAAAGATAAAATTTTTATTTTATTTTATCATTCGATATTTTGAAAGATTCAGAAAAAGTTGAAGCACAAAGAAGAAAAAAAATAAAAATAAAAAGATGAGCCCCAACCAAAAAAAAATCTATATGGGATTTCTTTGAGAATTTGTGCAAAGAGAAATGCTTCCAAAAACCAAACCCACTCATGAGTAGGTGATGAAAAGAGTGGCAAGTCAATGAAATGATTCGCTGTCACACATTAGGAGCTTCTTATGATTCCCAGCAAATCCTTTCGGCATTCCTCCTCTCTCCATAGAAAGAAAGTGGGCATTGGAATCTTCTAAACAGACATCAAAATGAGGTTAATTATTAATTATTCTTTTTTTTTTATATTTTTAAATTTTATATTGAGATCTTTATATTTATGAAAATCAAATATTTAATCCCGTTATTTTAATATATTTTTTTTATTTTTAGTCATATAAAATTATTTTTTAATCTTGTATAGGGATCTTAATGTTGTATTTTCATAAGTATTGAAATCCTAATATAATTTTTGAAACTGTAAGAATCAAAATATTAAAAATAACTAATTATAAAAGATAATTTATAATTAACCATATGGAATGAAATATAAAAAACAATAAGCTTGCATTCTAAGTCACATGGCTCATGTCTAAATCCACCTAGTCAATCAAAGTTTCTACTGTTTTATAATAATAATAATAATAATAATAATAATAATAATAATAATAATAATAATAATAATAATAAATAAATAAATAAATAAATAAATAAATAATCGTTTTGTTTATATTAAATGGATGTTGGCTGTCAACAAGTAAAAAATTTGTAAGTAATTTATTTGTAGTATTTTATTGTTGATGATTATGTCATCTTTTAGTACATTGTCATGCAATTAGATCCCTATATTCATGCAATGTAAGATTTAAGCATCTTAGGTCATTGGTAATCCAATAAACAAATTTTGTCACCTTATGTGTCATGTGAATTTATAAATTAAACATCATACCTTATATTTTCATATTGGATTATTCTTTTCTCCTATTAATACATGTTATTATATATTTGTATTTCTGTGGTCTTACATCCTCGGACGTGTCCATCTCACTCTTCTCCATTAACATTTTGGATGTTTCAATCCATGTCACATCAGTGTTACTTGAAGCTTCTTCCATCCTTAAGTAGCTCACCACTTCGGCGAATGAATGAGGATGCACATCATTTTCTCATCCAAGTGATGAGTCAATAAATACGAGACACAATCATGATTGGATTTGATAAGATAATGATATGTTGACTTGATGAATCTATAACTTAATCTAAAATGTTTAAATCCAGATTTATAAATAGTATGTTCATATAACCTTATAGTCAAACTCAGTATTGTTTTTCCATTTAATTGTCAAGTTTAAGTTTCTCACTATCTCCCATATTAGATTTGATTCTCATATAATATAAAAATTTATCATGTAAAATGACTAATTTAATATCTAACTAAAAAATCAATTAATCATTTTAAGTAGTAGGATAAAGTACTAATCTAATTGTTTCCGGTATAACAATTGATGTAACTTATGACACTATCTTTTTTTTTCGATATGTATTAAACTAATCGTGATGTTTCCGACGATCCTACTCGATTAATCTTTGTAATTATTAATGCATATACCGATTGTTCATTTGCAGACGAAAAGAGTTTAAACTCATTAACCTGAAACTAATGGAACTAATTTTTCACCTTTTATTTAACTAATAATTAATGTAAAATTACAATGCACAAATTATATATGTCACTAATTCTCATAATTATTTTTTTAATTTAAAAATATTTTATTTTATTTTTCTATTCAAACTGAGTCTATTTATATTTATCAGAAAAGAGGAAAAAAGAACCATTCTGGGTTACATTGCAACGATCGAACGCGTACCAAACTCTCCCACCGACGTGGTACCCGCCGGACTCCACCACAAGACGGCTGCGCTTACCGAAGTGGTCCCACATGTAGGCCCCATAATTTTGCCAATCAAAACACAACGGTAACAAAAGAGGAAGTGACCCATATCTACTCTCCGTGGGTGAACGAGACCCCGTAAAAGAAAACCCAAAAGATTCGTTCTTTGGGCACGAATCTTGAAGCGCCTGGGGCCGTCCACTCCTTCCACGTCCCCAACTCAGGTCTTCTTGTTCTTTGAACTCCTCTCTTCGAAGCAAGCTATCAACCGATTAAAGCGAGGGCGCTCCTTTTTGTCGTCTTCTCCCAGTGGGTTCCCGAGGTGTCAAGGAGGAGGGAGGGGTTGGGAGGGAGAGAGGAGCTGAGTATTCGGGGAATGGATTCAGGGGCGTGGTGGGGCATGTAGGGTTTTCATTTCCATTGGATGATTGGAAGGGGCAGTTGTTGTCGGGGGGTTCCATGCGGAAATCGTTCAGGGACTCGTTGAAGCTCCTCGAGGCTGGCATCGGGCACGCGAACACTTTGTACGTAGTGCTGCCGTTGTACCTCTTCTTCTCAGTGGTTTTGTGGTTTTTGTAAAGATTTCTTGATAGGGAGGATTTTTTTTGCTTGTTCACATCTTTCTGTCGACGATGTGCATATTCCTGCTGATCAATGTTTTGCTCTGTTCTTGATGATGGATAGACTACAAAGATGATTCTGGCTGGATTTGGGAGGAAGCAGGAAATTGTTTGTTTTTAGCAATTTTTATTGATCCGTAATCGAAGAACTCGAGTGTTTAACACTGTTTTACGTGAGCTGGAAGTATCTTTTGAGGCCAAAAATAGTTTTTTTTGGTTAGGGGATTTCTTGGAGGGTAGCTTTTCTTACCCTTATAGTTACAGAATTGGCGTTTTCGGGAGGTCATGCAACTGCTTTCTACTACAAGGAAAGCTGATCACAGATGGCATTTTCGAGAGGTCATGCAACTGCTTTCTGGCGTAAGGAAAGCTGATCACAGATGGTTTTCATGTGGGACGGAGGAGTTACCTTTCTCATTATACTAGGGTTGTATAATTATTCTAAGAAAGAGGTCAGATTGCCATGTTGGATCAACATCAAATAAGCTTAATTGGGAAGAGAATATCGTTTTATGGTCTAGTTTATATTTCCTTTATTTACTTTACATATCTTGTTCAGATGAATATTTAAAATGCTACTACTGTTTGCGACAAACAGATGCTTTTATGCAATCTTTAACTTTTTTGGTTTCACCTTTAATTTTGTCAATGTTTCCTGTGTAAGAAGTGGAATAACTTTTTTTTCTTGTTGAGTAGGACAGAGCTTTAGAAAATAAGAATAACTGGGTTAAGTTTTATTTCAAATCCTCCATCATGATCTGCAGGGCATCAGATTTTCCCACCGAATATGATGGTGCATGCCTTCAAATGCGAATGTCATATAGTCCAGCTGCACATTTGTTTCTTTTTCTTGTTCAGTGGACAGATTGCAGCCTTGCTGGGGCTCTTGGACTCATTAGAATTATGATATATAAGGTCGCTTTCATCCTGCATTGTTGTACCTTTTTTCTAAGGTCTTCCTGTCTGTTTACAGTTTGATTTCTGTTATTCTTTGAGGAATTCTGAGATGTGCAGGTTCATATTGATGGAACAACAACCATGTCAACTCTTGAAAGAAAAGCTAGTATTAAAGAGTTTTATGGTAAGTTCATTGTGCTGAAGTTTGGCAAGCATTCTTCTGTTTGCTGCTGATTGCTCATATCTTGATTATTTGTTCTCTTTGCTACACATTTGCAGTTGCTATTTTCCCCTCTTTGCTCCAACTACAGAAAGGGATCACCAACATGGAAGACAAAAAACAAAAGGTGGTATGCATGGAAAGATATAGACGAAGGGATGAGGATGAAAGGAAGCAGCTCTCTGAGATAGATGTTGAAAGAGAGGAAGAATGTGGGATTTGCATGGAGATGAACAACAAAATCATATTGCCCAGGTGCAGCCATGCTATGTGTATAAAATGCTACAGAGAATGGTACAACTCTTCCCTTTAGGATTCAAAACTGTTATTTTTATGTCTTTATTGGGAATGAACTTCTGCAACAAGCTTTGGAGAATGACTCAACTTGAGCTTACAAATCTGTGCAAAATTGAACTAACCTTTCAGGATGTAATTAATTGGAAATGTGAAATATGCCCGTTTAAAGTCTTCAGTGGAAGGAAAAGAAGAAAACATATTTAATATTAATTGATGTGAGAAAATTATCTTTTGGGGAGGATCTTACTTTCTGATAGTTTGGATTTTATAAAGGAAATTTAAGAAGTGGAAGAGTTTCAAATGCTTGAATTGAATCAACAGCGGTTCAATAAGCAATGTTGAATAGGCCCTTGGAATAAGAACTAGACTAGGGGAACCATCACAAGTACAGGTCGTCTTATCACAGATTTAGCTGGAATTGCCTAAGCCGTGAGGCACCCTTGCAGCCAAGACGCGAACTTAGCTTGAGTTGCCTAAGTCGCGAAGCGCCCTTGCGCCAACTTCTCGGACTTAGCTGGGATTGCCTAAGTTATGATGCGCCCTTGCGATATGCGTTCGCAAGGGTCAGCCAATTTGCAACCTCACTCAGGTCCCGAAGGACTTGTAAAAGAGAAAGTTGATTAGTTCGAAGAATGAGCGGTAGACAAGTCCTGATGTCTTGCGGAAAGGGAAGCTTTACAAGCAATTCAGCGAGCACCTTGCGTGCATAAGAGAAAAGAGAGGAAGGAGGAAAACAATGACTTTAGAAGGTAGAACAAACAGTTGCAAGTCCACAAACAACTGCTCACCGGGTGCCGGGTGCGAAGGCAAGTTCCCGTCAAGTTAACGTGCGAACTTGTGAAGATTTTTCAACGACTGACAATATACCGAAGCTCCATCCAGCCCTATGCCACCCGGGGGATTCCAGGGTGCTGAGATGACTGACGTTTTGGTGGGCAGCTGCGGCTTGCAGAAAATAAGCCGTGGCACGCGAAAATGAGCCGTGGCACGCGAAAATGAAGCCATTTTGGGGGCAGTTCGACTTGGCGTGGCGAGCGATCGCACTGTAGCATTGCAATCTGTTCGAACATGTATTTTTACAAGCAAAAATACACAAAATCAAGGCAAAAAAGGCTGCCATGTCTCTGTACAAGCATGGAAAAGCGACGAACGGTTCGTTGAACGAAGTTGTTGCAAGTGCCTGATGACCGTTCGTGGCAATCTGAGAAGGAACTTGCATGAAGTGTCCTGCTACCGTAGCATAGGAGCACTCCTACTAAGAAATGGAAGAGCAAATTGCACATCTTACTTTGGGTTCAAGCTATTCTATGACAAAATAAGTTATGGACTTGGATACGATGCTCCTCTTAATGAGAGTGACTTGGGGATATATGGAAAATTAGTGGAACGAATAAATGAGGACTCATACTTCACTTCTCAAGAGGGCAGTAGTTTTTAGAGAGAATTATTAATAAGTGTTTTCAGCAGAGTGTCCTAATCCTAATAATTGTAATATATGACTTCTTGAATTGTTCACAGTACAACTTAACAGGAAAATACTCCTAATTTTCTTCTTTATAATTCTTAATATTTCTTTTATGTTACTGATTTACTTTCTTCTTTCTTCTCTTAAATATCTCATGCATACGTTTCTGATACTGATGGTATAGGGAAGATGACATATCAATTATTTGATCTAGTTTTGAGCTGTAGTCTATTGTTCATGAGTTTTTGATAGTCTAAATATCAAATTGCATACAAATCATGGTTTGGTGTAAAGCAGGAATGTGCAATATGCGAGGAGATTGAAGCTAAAAGCTATACAAGCAGTGTGTGGAGAAGTAGAACAAGTGTTTGCAATGCTGCTAAGATTTAATTTGTTAATATGATTTTACTGGTAAAAGGAGTTGAATCCTTTTGCTTGCTCACACTAGGAAACCATATTCATGAGATTTCATAGTGTTCGGTTGCCATGAGTAGTTCTTAGTTTTCTACTCATGCCTAGATAAAACTTTACACTAATACTACTTGTTATTGCCAATATATCCTTTTTCAGCTTAAAGAAAAGGAAGAGATACCTAAGGGTTCACATTTGGAGTAGGTTGCCTTAGGTCATTTGCTTTGTGAACTTCAACTTGAACTATTTTCGTTAGATTGTTGGTGCAGCAGTGCATGAAAGGCTGTCGCAGCTCTAGTTTTAAGATACCTATAGGAATTGATTTGGTAATTGTCTATTTAAAGAAATAATTTATTAGTGATTCCATTCTTATAAGTTTCCAAGTGGGCAATAAACTCCCAAAATTGGCACCTGTAGACCCTTATTTTCCTGTTCTTCATCTGAATATGTAATGGATGCTTCAGCTTATTATTATAAGTGGGGAAGATTCATTCAGTGGTTTGTGACTAACGAATTGGAGTCTATATGAGATCACCACCGCCATGCATCATTAAATATGTGGTGATTGGTTCTGTATTAGTTGCCAATTTAAGACTTTCATGGATGACTTATTTATGACATATCATGAAGAAACCTATGCAGTTTTGTCATTGAGATGCTAGCATAGATGAAATCCATTCTGATGCATCATGATCTATTAGGTCACTGGTTTCACATTATAAATAGATGAATTTTGGGAAGATTCTATCGTCTCTTATTCATAATAATGGATGATATAGTGACAGGGTTATGCCAAATTTATTGTGACATGTAGGGCAGTCCTTAGGCCACCAAGAATTTTCTGGGTTAATTCAGTACTTGGATTCTGGAATTGACTTGGTTGGTGGTGGCACATGAGGAGCAAGTCAAATCAGATGAGTTTCTTTTTGACATATCATACATCAGATTGATGTCATGATCATTCAAGTCATCATTACAAATACATTGAATCCAGTTGCAGAGTAAAACTTGGTCTATAAGTGCCTTGGAAGACCTAATAGATTCTAACCATTCTGACCTAGTCATCATCACTAACTGTCTAGTTCTTGATATTTATATATTTATATATATGTTAAAAGTGCTTCTAGATAATTTATGATGGGCAAGAAAGTTGTGCATTCTCTATTAAAAGAAAATTAGATGTGCGAAAATGCACCTGGTAGGTTGATTTTGTTAGACAGTTTGTTGGTACGTGCAAGGACCAGCCAATCAAATTTCAGGGTTTTATTTATTGATTTCCTGGATCTACCTGGCAAGTGTTTACATGATGCATGCAATATTTTCATATGCTTTGAATGAGTGAAAGTAGAGCATCATATTTTAAGATCATTTTTTTCTTCTTGTCTGAGTGGTTCCTTCTAGTTTTGTAGTTTTGGGGCTTTAGAAGTGTACCTTGTTTCTGTCTCTTGTTTGCTTTGGCTTTTTGAGAAACTCTGCACTTTGCCATGCATTTCATAAATAGGCATTATTTATTTTCAATTATTTATACACTTCTAATTGTAGATTAGAGATGTGATCATGTGGAAGAATCTGATGCAATTACCATATGTCAAGAATAATGTGCAGTTTCTTTTATCTTTATCTTTTTTTTTAATGAAGATGTCTTTATTTGTATGTAAAAATTTATAGAGATGATTTTTTTTGGGAAATTTCCTTTTCGATGTCTCTTCGGTAGGAAGACCAAAATTGGAGAAATGTTTCAAGGCTTTTATAAAAAGTAGCTTTCTATTTCTATATTTTCTCTGTAGATGGAAAAAACGTTCTTAAAAATATTTTTTTCTGTTTTTCTCAGCCATCTTTTTGAAAGGGCCTATTTTAGTTTAGTGGCACTCTGAACAAAAGAAGAGAGGCAAAAAAGCTCTTATACTTTTTAATCCTACAATCTAGACAATTTCTGTTGATCTTTATGGAAAGACTTCTTATTGAAAGTCATTTGGTCATAATTTTTCTTGCAACAAAGGAGACACTATTTTGAACTAGCACTCTGAACACAAGGAGAGAGGCAAAAAGTCTCTTATACTTTTTAATCCTACAATCTAGACAATTTTTGTTTATCTTTATGGAAAATACTTCTTATTGAAAGTCATTTTATCATAATTTTTCTTGCTACAAAGGAGGCCTTATTAATTATATTGTGCCATAATCTATATTTGGACTCGACATCTGGTGATAGTTTAAATTTTTAGTCTGATTTTCAGATTAGTTCGAGACTAAACTTAAAGGATATAGAGCCAAATTTTTATTTTTTGCAATTTTCCTCAAGTTTCCTTTGCAATCGTCAGCAAATTTTATCTTTACAAAATTTCCTCAAAATTTTCTTGTGGCATTACGGTGCTACTTGTATTTATATCAGATGTAGCATATCTTCAAACCTTTCTCTCCTCATTATTGGTCTGACTCTTAGTTATTTTGTCAGAGAGAAATATTAATAGTTCAAGTCACATTTTGATGTCTTTTTGTCCATTTTCTGCTTTGTCTATAAAACTTGGTTGCAAATAGTTCCCATTTTTGTTAATGGAAATGTGTATTCTTGGTGATATTTGGTAACAAGGTCAATGACTTGGAATATCAAGTACATCAACAAACACAAATGCCCATTAGACATGGAGCAAATTGGGCAGATAAAAGAACCCTTCTCTCACTACACCGTCATCTTTTTCTGCATTTGACTTTGAGTTCAATTTTACTTTGTTGAGTTTGAAGACCAAGGACATTGTCATAGTAATTGGTTCCTCCTAGTAAGCAAATTGTCATCATAATGTTATATTACTTTGTCTCATCATCTACAAACTTAACTTTCTACTATGGACTTTGAAAAGTTAATCTTGGGGAGTCGCTTCCTCTCTTAATTCTTTGTTTGTACATGTGAAGACTGAGCAATGATATTGTTGCAGGAACTCAAGATCACAGTCATGCCCCTTCTGTCGTGATAGCCTCAGGAGAGTAAACTCTGGTGATTTATGGGTGTTTGTCAATAGTAGAGATGTCGTTGACATGACTGGTGACACGTGAAGACATCAGGCGCTTAATCATGTACATAAAGAAGTTGCCCGAAGTTGTTCCAGAGACCGTCTTCAATGCTTGTGATTCTCATGATAGGTGACCCATGTGTCCACGCCATCTGGTCGACTTCCATCAATTTCTTATTCTAGTTTCTATCTGCTCAAGTAGCTTGATTTTATCTATGGTTTGGAGATGATTCCAGTTTAAGTGGAAAATCTGCTCTTCTTTTTCAAGCAGCTAATTGACTTGCAAGCTACACCCGCTGAGCATCTTCAGCACTATGTAAATTCTTGTACAGTTGGTAAGATTATAAGATGTTACAGACCAGCGTTGAGCAATTGTGTGTTATTCTGGATTTGCAGCTAAAATTGAGCAATTGTAATATAGTCTTTTTGTGTGATTAATCTCTTCTTTTTTATCTTCTTTCATATATTGATCTCATAAGAGTTTCTTTGCGTATAAATCCTTCATATATTCCTCAAATATGATGGAGTCATTATTGCAAATAAATAGTCCTCGGAGTTGATCCAATCGTAATAGTAGCAAATATTTCTCTAACAATCCTTATTTAGTTTTTGTCTTCAACTCAGTCCATCCCTGGCCTGTCCCGTTAATTTTTGTACTTGCGCACTCCTTTTTATCTTCTGTTGTCTTCACTCTAATGGGTGAGAGCATATGCAAGCAATAGAGTTTAAATGGTCAAGTAATTAGATAGTAATTAGATATTACCTCATATATTTAAATCTTATTAGTATCGTGATTATTATACTTAAAAAATTTATATTGAAATCTTTATAGTTGAAAGTGAAACAAATAACCTCGTTTGCCTTAACATCATGAACTATATTGACAAAAAATATAACACGTGACACAACATGTTGAATCAATGTGAAAGTGATGGGCAAAAAAATAATTTCAATATCCCTTCCATTTTGAGTAGCAAAGCCCAATTACCTTGCCACCTGATCCGCCTCTCACTATATCACAAGGATGCTTCGGGTATGGTCATCATCCCGATTTGCTCCTGGTATAGTAAGAGTGATCGTCGTTGGGATGCTAAACGCATGGTTGTTGTCCCACTTGACTTTTGGTGTAGCGAGAGTGATCGTCGTTGGGATGCTCGAGGCATGGTCGTCATCGTCGTCATCGCCACCAAGGTCATCCTCCTTGTGCCCCTCCTAATAATTATGTAACCTAGCACCTGCTACGACATCCTATTCCTGGTCCTCGCCTACACCACTTTCGACGTTCGTAACACCCATGATGTCCTTCTCCACTCGTCACCTACGGTTGGTTTGGCATCGAGACTTGGACCGATGACCAAGCCGTCTTTCTTCTCCTCTTAGCTTCCCTCCGCTTGTCCCCTTACGTGATGTTGCTTCCATGGCTCACCACCTCACTACTAGAGCTTGCCATCTTCATCATCTTCTAGGTGGCCCAGCTCGTACTACTATGGAAAGGGATATATAGCATTAAATCGCTATAGAAGCTCTCAGCTCTGATTCTTCGCCGCTTGATTCTTGGGCTGGACTTATAGCAACGTAAGTGGATTTGATCCTATACTCTCTTAGTCGCCTTATCTATTACTACTCAAGTTCTTAGCACTCTTCTTCTTATTGCTCAATGCCAACGTTGGTAACTGGGTGACAACAACATAAGCATCTCAACTATCACGGGCAAAGTTCTAAACAGGATGTTGGATATAATACTTGTGTATGTCCGTGTCTTTCTGTTTGTTTATGCTTTGTACAACATGTAAAGGAAGGGTTGAAGGCTTAACAACCCCATTTTAGTTAGGTTTTGTGGCCTTTTTAGGCTTGTAATTAAATATTGTGTCATGTGGACACTAGTGAGAGATACTTGGTCTGTAGTAGACCATTTTAACCCTTTGTTGTGTAACTGTTTAGAGCTTGTAAAGTATGTTTATAATTTGCATTATCTATGAAGTATTTCCTGGAATATTTGCTTGTGGATCCCGAGTGAGGTGCTTTCTCTAACTCGTTTTCTCTTTTGTAGGTCCTAAGGGACCATAGGAGGTTTCGGGGAGACTGACATTTACGGACGGACACACAAGGGTGCCACACGACTTAGGCAAAACCAGCTAAGTCTGTGACATATGGTATCAGAGTGGGACAAACACTCATAGAAACACTTGGTATGCAAACGTGGGGGACCTAGCGTGGCTGCGTTGAGGGCAGCTAGCATGCGTGATTGTTTGGGGGAAAATGAGCATGGAGATATAGAAAAAAGGAGTCGCTCAGAGGAGCGAACATCTGAGAGTGGCATTCAGTGGAATGCCCAACCCTTTGCGTAAGAGTCACCATGAGGATAAGTAAGCTGAGAAGAATGCAGAGCGCACAAAGGTCGGGATGGCTGAGTTTGAGCTACGACTCAATGTTGACAACTATACTTGATGGTGCTCAAGGCAAGCGAGGCACTTGGTAAAGGATGAGACCACACAAGGTGAAATGAGTTGCTCAGCGACTGAAAGAGTGGTGCAAAGCTCACAGAGGTGAGTGGAATTGCTAACTCGAAGAATTCGGTACTTATGTAAGGGCTTATATGCGGATGATGGAATGTTCGCGGCCATCCCAAGGCGACCGGAACTTGGCGCTATGGAGCATTGGAACTTTCTCTTCGGCATGTGAAGGATACGTCCGTAGGAGGCTGAAGTGTCTAGCGAGTTCAGCATGCTGCTAGACCTTGAGTGGTGCAACGGGGACTGTATTGACGTGGAGTCACAATCTAGTAAGTGCGTTTATAGGAGGTAGAACAGTGCACAACTTATTCAGCAAATCGGAGTAGTCTAAGGGGATGGTGGTCTCCGAAACTTTTAAAGAGAAAGAAGCAAAGAGAGATGTTGCTCCAATGGGACAGATATCTAGGGGAAATAAGTCTTGGTTCTCTAGAGGGAGAATCATGTGCAACAGACCGCACATGTTGAGGAATACCTAAAAAACAACAACTCTACGAAGCTCAATGGACCGAGCGAGCGGTGAGGAGTCGTCGCATGATCTCGCTTGAGAGAATGCATTGGTGGATGCATTGTGAGATCAAATAGGGGATCAACCCAAAGCAACACAAATGAAGGCACACTTGGAGTGGATATGGAGATCGAACTCAAGGGAGGGCTGACCCATGGAATGGTGGGCACGACAGCCACCATCAACTCAATGCAAAATAAAGAGCGGAGCAACTTGGGTGTAACTTAGTGAAGTACCTAAGCCGCATGAAGAGAGCCAGCATAAAAGATGGAACATGGAGTGGAGGCACAGAGCTTTCCTTGGATAGAGGTTAAGGACATGAAATCTTGCAGAGTAGGATCATGTTGTTCCATGGGTCCTTCATTTTAACGGAGAAGACTCATCTTGCATGATACCAAAGAGAAGAAAGCTTCTGGGCATATGCACTTTATCTCGGAGAAACATTTGATGGAGAACTAAGGCGACTCAACTTGCGGAGGCGAAGTTGGGTTCAGAAGGCCTTGGCACAGGGCAAGAGGACGCGGAGGCAGGTACTCTTGAAGAATATGCCACAATGTTGCCATTCAAGTTACCATGAAAGAAGCGATGCACAGCGGAGATTGTGTTGGTAGGGGCAGAGGCCCAGGATCCAGACAATGGTGCACTAATTGCAGCGAAGTCAGTGGACTTCGGGAGCTACTAGGCGACGGACTATCCTGGAGCAGTGCTTCATCTAGGTGTGACCCAAGAGTGGGTGGATGAAGGTCGATTGCCAAAGGAGCGAACAAAATCGAAGATGGAAGAGACCCTACGATGTATTGACAAAGGCCACATATGGAGGGATCACTATTCGAGTTCATCCCACAAGGATTAGAATGTACTAGAGATATCACCAAGAGGCGACATGGTGCAGTGGATCATGGTGGAACAATTCATGGCAATGCGATACACACGACATAGTCCCGTGAGGGACTAGATCATATAGAGATATGATCGGGAGCTACTGGAAGCTGCACTTCGGTAAACAACACGATGGCAAGAAGGGCTATGGATTCAAGGAGTGAAGGCCATGGTACCGTAGAGGTGAGTCTTCCATGCATGCATCGAATTTTGCATCAGATGAAAGCCTTGGGCATTAGCATATGGGGCTGTGTCTTACCAAGGGAAAAGTTCGAATGCAAGTATCATTGAGTCCCAATAAAAGGACTTGATCATGCAGAGGTATGATCGAAGCAGTTGGAGAGTTTGACTGCTCCAAAGCCCATATTCTCTTAAGGGAAACCGGTAAGTCAGAGGACAAAGTTGAGTAAGCGAACATTGCTACCAAGGAAGCTAAGGAGAATAGAATCGGTGCAAACCCTACAACGTATGTAGAGGCCATGCATGAGAGCTACATTCTGTCTTTCCATCGACCAAAGAAAGCTGCTTGGAGAACACAGAAATGTTGAAGCTGATGATCGAAAGGAGCGAGGAAGCGACGATGAGTCCAGAGGGACTTAGCTACCTAAAATCAAGCATTAGTTAGAATAGAGGTGGACTCGGAGGAGCGCCACAGAGACATATCTACTGATCATGAAAAAAAGGGATGCAGATTCGAGACAATAGATAATAGGGCCATGGGCATGACAGCGCCATGGTACCGTAAAGGCGGGACTTCCGTGAAAGTCATTGATCCCTTGCTCTAATGGAGGGAGAGCGCTTGGTCGTGAAAAGGGCCAAGGAGGTGGAGCACGTAGAGGCAAACTCCAAGTACCGAGACAAGGCTGAAGGGCAGAGGCCGAGGAACTTCGTAAGACCAGTGTCAACGAGCTTCTCATCAAGATAACCGAAAGTGAAGAACTTCGGGTCATGCAGAGTGCACAAACAAGGAACGAAGCAGGCACTATGCGGTGCTATACCTTTGTTACTCAGTGGAGTAGGCAGCAGGGTTGATGGAGAAGACGGTACAATACCAAAGGCGACTAAATCTATTAGAGAATTACTCTAAGTTGGAGTGAAAACTTCCTGCATTCCAGAAGTTTGATGACATTGAGAAGGTGAATCACAGTAGCTAACTCAATGTAAGGAGTGCAAACACTTCGAGTGCTTTAGAAGTGTCAGCAAAGAGCAGGCAAAGGTCAGCAACTAGCTCGATGCATGGAGTACAACCCTTGAGGAGGCGAGCGAAGTCAAATATCCATTACCTTTTCAATTCTTAAGAGAATGGGTGAAACCGAGTACCAGAATTCTCTTATCTATCCAATAGAGGAGGGCTGTATAGGTTCAAAGACCCTTCGAAGATATTAGAAGATAATAGTTGTCAAATCCTCACCAATGGTGATTAGTGCTATTGAGAGTATATTATCTGCT